TTTTTCGATCTGCAGTGCCACAAATACTGGCCTTTGGGTCCCAAGTCCTGAGTTCGAGTCCCGTCTGAGTCTCAGTTTCTACATGAGTGAAATGTGAGGATAAGTCTACTTGAGGATACTGGGAGGTGCCAAACAGAGGCCGAGCTGGGTTTGGTGGCACATGTCTGCAATCCCAGTAATCTGGGAGGCTTAGGCAGGAGGACCACAAATTCAACCCCCGCCTGGGCAGTTGAGTGACTTAGCAAGACTGTCTGAAAATTTATATATGTATGTATATGGGGGCTGAGGATGTAGCTCTGTGCAAAGGCCGGGATTTGATCCCCAGGCCTAGAGGGAGACAGCGAGAGAGGTGTGAGCCCAAAGAGCCAGCCATGCCTTGGGAAAGGCTGGCAGCCTGTGTGGCAGATTTGCCCACTGTCAGGGGACTCGCCTTTGTTTGGCAACTCTGTCACTCACTGCTGGGCCATCCAGACAAACTGCCTCAACCTCTCTGAGCTCTGCCTCTCATCTGTACCAAAACAGGGACACCCTGGGACTGCCGCAGGCTGTCAACATGAGGCTCAGAAGCAAAACGTGAGTATCTGGTGGACCTGAGGTTCCTTCCGCCCTGGGGCCTCCTGTCCTCCTGTCCTCTTTTCCTGAGCCCTGATCTCCCCTTGGCCACCGCTACCTTTGCCTGCCTTATAGTTTAAGACCTGACTCCCTGGCTCTGTCCTGAGGGCACGGCTGTGACACCCCGCTGTCTGCGGATCTTTTGCCCCATGTGACTGCAGGCGCTAGAGTCTGTCGCAGCTGCAGGTGCACACACGTGGGTCCGGCTGCACGCATGGCCGCGGAGACCCACAGCGACACCTGTGAGATTTTTTTCCCCTTTCATTTGCGCTGCTGGTTCCCCGGCCTCCCCCTTTGTCCCATGACGTTCACTGCTCTGATTAAGTGGCAAGGGCTTTTATTCCCTACAATTCTCCAGTCATGAATAATGATGCTGGCTCATAAATGAGAATTGCTTTTCTATTTAAATTCTGTGAGAGTGTGCATGTGTGTTTTGTTTCTTGGAAAGAAAAAAAAGAAGGTATGAAGCCAGGACTCTGGGGTCATGTGAAGTTATTAATTTCAAGAGGAGCTCTTAGCTAGCTTATTAGCAGTGAGCTAAATGGCGGGATATTAATTACCTTGTTGCCGTCTGCATTTCCACGCTGGTGGTGGTCTGTCGGCAGACATGGGGAAAGTGGGTCCCCGTGGGATGCTACACGCGCAGTCGCGGGGGGAGGGGAAGAGGACCTAGGACTCTGGGACTCAGGCCAATGCATCAAACGCTGTCACCACAAAGAAATGACTCGTGTAGGAAGTGATGGAGTTGAAAATGCCCCCATCAGCGCACAGTGTATATGCGTGTCAGATTGTCACGCTGTACCCTGTGCATATATGAGTCACTGTGGGTCAAAAAGAAAGCTAGAATCAATTCTAATCAAAGACCTGGATATAAAACAAGAAGCATCGGAAGTGCAGGGAGATAACAGAGCAAGTGCTCGAGCTCAGAAGCGCCAGCTAGGACTTCCCGAGTAAAACAGTAGCAGCAAAGTGACACACAGAGGATTAAAAAATGGGACGCTTCACAGATTTGTGTGTCATCCTTGCACAGGGGTCATGCTAATAATCTTCCCTGTATCATTCTAATTTTAGTACATGTGCTACAGAAGAGAGGACTAAAGCCTAATTTTTTTCTTTTTCTGGTACCGGGGATTGAACTCAGGACCTTTCGCTTGCCAGGCAGGTGCTTATGCCGCTGAGCTATATCCCCAGCCCGGTTGACAAATGGAACTGCATCAAATTAAGTAGCTTCTGCTCAGCTGAGGGAAGGGACTGTTACAGGCTGGAGAAAGAAGTTTGACAGCAACTCTTCTGCGGGAGGACTCACGTCTGGAATATAGAAAGAACCCCCCTAAGAAACCTGCCAAAACAAGGGAACCAATCAGAAGACAGGTAAATGTGTGGGACAGACGTGCCTGCAAAGAAGTGCCCATGGCACATAAATGCGTGACAGCCTACTCATCACTTCTAGCCATGGAGCAAAGGCGATTCTGGACAGCGCTGAGATTCCTGCTTGCCCGATCGTGGAATGTCTGTCCTGGCGGGGATCCGGGGAGAAGAGGCCTTCCCTGTTACTGCTGCGGAGGTCAGGGAATCACAAGGAGACCCCCGGGGAAACTGAAAGTAGGACTGCTCCACTACCTGTCCTGGGTGCATTCCTGAGATATTTAAGACACCACGCTACAGGGACACGCGGGTGTCGGTTTGTGGCAGCAGCGTTCACAAGGGATAAGGCTACGCTCTGGAAACGGCCTGGATGCCCATCCTCAGATGATGAAAACTGGGTCTGCACACAGTGGAATATTGTGCAGCCGCCAAAAGAACTAACTCGTGTCATTTACAGGAAAATGCCTGGGACTTGAGGCCATAATGTTAAGTGAAGTAAGTCAACACAGGAAGGGCCAGGGAGATGGCTCAGTAGAATAAGCACTTGCCTGGCAAGCACAAGGGCATGAGTTCAATCCCTGGCTCTGCCAAGAAAAAAAAGAAAAAAGAAGGAAAAAAAAAAGTCAACACAGAAAGTTTATATCATATTGATTCTCTTATAGGAGAAACCTAAAATATAAAGAAATACATGAATGAATAAAATGAAGGAGAGACGGCAGGAAACAAGAAGACAGACTTTTGTAGATAGGGAAGGGGATTAGGAAGAAGGGGGAAGCTAACAGAAAGGGGTAAAGAGATTAAAAAAAATGATCAAAATATGTTGTCTGCATGTACCAGCTCCCTAAAATGAACATTGAGACTTTGTTTTGCAAACATAAACTAAGTAAAAAAGAAAAAAAAAAGAGTTAGGTGTGGTGGTGCCTGCCTATAATCCCAGCATCCAGGAGGCTGAGGCAGGAGGATTGTTGCCAATTCAAGGCCAGTCTGGGGTATATATGAGCCAGCCTGGATTAGATAGTGAGAGTCTTTCTCACAAGATCAAAATAAAAAAGAAAGAAAGAGAGAGAGCCAAGCCCGTTGTGGTGGCACACACCTGAAATCCCAGCTCTCGGGAGGCTAAGGCAGAAAGATCGCTGTGAGTTCAAGGCCAGCCTGAACCACATAGTGAGACCACATCCCCCCCGACCCAGCACCCACCCCCCAAAAAAAAAGCAAGCAAGAAAGTTGGCCCAACACAAACATGAGTGTGAAGTGCTCCTCGCGCAGGCTCGCTGCAGGCCCAGTGGAGCTGGGGTGACCCAGTGGCGGAGGATCCCTTGATTGAAATGTCACCTCACTTCGTCCCTGTCTGTGCCATATCGACACCTGCCTATTATTTACTATTTTTATTTCCACTAACTCACTAAGAAAAAAGAAAACCCTGAAATTTAGTTTAAAGGGAAACTATATCACAGCCATAAATGGGAAACTAGCATCCCTAGTCATAAATTCAAAGCAGCATAAACATGAATACATGACTATTAAAATAAAAAATGTGCACCACCTGGAAGCAACCTCCACGCAGGCAGGGCAGGGAGCACCAGGCATGGGCATCTGGGCTGGGTGGGAGGCGGGGTGTGCTAAACTGGTGTCCCCACCTCTGGTGACCAGCCCTGGGCCAGGACTGGCTCCCCGAGGCCTTTCTCAGTAGAGGTAGCCAAGGCCAGGGGGCTGCAGGAGCGTTGACAGGACGGGGAATTTCTGGATTTTTGCAGGTGGGAGAGTAACGCACAAATGATGTGTAGATTCTACACCAGCCCGTTTGCTTCCAGCTGGTATCCTCTGTGCCCTGGCATCCCCAGAATTCACAGCCCAAGCCAAGGGACTGTGTGACTGACCCTGGACAGACCTCCAGGCCCGTCCAGAACTCTGTATCTTTGTCTGCTTCCTGTGGCTTGAACAAGAGGCACCCGCATCCATTGTGTCAACCTGGCTGGGTGGGGTGCTAGATATGCGGCTGCGTGATGTTCTGGATTTTTCTGCAAGGTTGATTTGGGATGAGACAAACATTAAAATCTGCCAGTTTTGTGTAAAGCGATTCCTTAGTCTCTGTCTCTTCTCGCCTGCACAGCTTCCCTTCCTGTTCTCTGGAGAGCCGGACACCTGCAGAGCCCTCTGGACTGCTGGGTCCTTTGGTCGGAGCCAGCACAGGGAGTAGAGGAGAGGTGCTCTCCGTTTCCCTCCATGTATCTTCTGGCCCTGCAGAAATGTAATAGGAAAACTCAGCTCAGAACGGCTTCCCCATGAAGCGGATTTATCAGTGCCCAGCTCCATGCGTCTGGCAGTCGGTCAGCCTCCGGGGCTGTTTGACTCAGCAGCTCATGAATGCCATCAAGGGCCCCAATTATTTCTCCATCTCTCTCCTCTTTCTTATTCCTGATGTTAATGGCAATGGGTGGGTGGTTTCCCTTATGGTGACAAAAGGGCTGCACAGTTCCAGCCAAACCTCTTAGACCCAAAGGATAGAGATAGGTGTCAGTCTCCCCAGAATCATAGCAGAAGTCACTGGCCCACCTCAGAGCTGATGCCTGCGGCCATAGGAAGGATGCAAACAAATCAGCTCAGAACTAGTTTGCTGTTTGTTTGTCCTGGAGTCAAACCGAACTGAGCCTCTCATCACTATAAAACATCGTTGTGCTTCAATTTTGAGACAGAATCTCACTAATTTACTAAGTTGCCCAGGCTGGTCTTGAACTTGAGATCGTCCTGCCTCTGCCTTCCGGAGTACTGAGATCCCAGGTATTGACCACCATCTCCAGCTGAGATCTTGTGTATTGAAACTGATCACCATGGTAAAGGGCATGGGATTACCCTGTGGCAAGGGCTACTGGGAGAGAGTGGGATTGGCTCACCAAGCAGGGTGGCTGCCTCGAGGCAGCTGTGTGTGTCTGGGGCACTCCCTTCCATTCCTCGAAGCCTTCCCCCTCCTTCATCTCCTTTCCTCTGTGGTCACTTACCCAGTCAGCCCTGGGAACTAGATGTATCCATGTTGTCTGTATCCATCCTGTCCCCTTTCCTTGTTGTGTGGCTCAGAGACCCGGGCTTTGGGGGACCCCCTTGTCATTCCTTTGGCCTTGGGAAAGCTCTTCACCCTGGAGCCCAACACTTGCATAATGAGATCCAGGCTGTGCCACACGACTTCTTCCTAGGATTTCCATTCTTGTTTGTGTCGTCAGCTACTCCACTGCTGAGGCACAGGGCCAGCACCTAGGAATAAAGGATCTGCTTGAATTCGGCTTACCGCTTCAGGGAGCTCAGTCCATGGTCAGCTGGCTCCAAAGCAGACTCTTCATGGTGGAGACCATTAAAGCTTGGTTCATGGGGACATGGAAGCAGAGCAGGGGGACAATGTCAAGGGGAAGGGGGTCAGGGACAAGATAATCAGGGATAATCCCCAAGTCATGAGCTGTGCGTGGCCCTGTGGTGGCCCCAGACTAGGTCTTCCATGCTGTCTCTGCCCTGTGGAGAAAGCTGTGTGTGTGTGTGTGTGTGTGTGTGTGTGTGTGTGTGTGTGTATAGCCAGTTCTTGGACAGGATGAGGTCTTTTTCATGGAGTTAGCTTTCCTAGGGGTCTTTCTGAAGGTGGAACCGGCCTCGTGTCTCTCTGGTGTCCTGGCCTGCCATCTGCTCCTTTCCTACTACCCTAGCCATTGCTACCTGGAGAGCCTTGGCTGGGGCCTGTGCCAGGCCCACTGGACTTCCATCCTCCTAAACCATGAACTACATCAACCTCCTTTCTCATGGTTCAGCCTCAGGTATTTTGTTATAGTATCAGATCAGTTAGTACATTTACAATTTTTTTTTTTTTTTTTTTTTTGCCGAACCAGGGATTGAACTCAGATCCTTGCATTTGCCAGTCAAGTACTTATCCTACTGAGCCATCTCCCAGGCCCCTACAAATTTATTTTTATTAGCCCATGTTTGCATAAAGATGACATTCACTGAGGAAAGTTGGTACATGTATGTAACACATCTTAATTCCTTTGAAGCCCCCTTTGCTTTCCCTTCCTCCATCTCGGAGCCTCCCCGTTTTTTGCAAAAGATCTATCTCCCCATTTCCTATTATCTTTTAATCTTACCCTTTTAATTTTTTGCACTTTGCACTTCCCGTCTAAGAGAAGCCATGTGACATCGAAGCTGGTGTGTCTAATATTTATTCCATCTAACATTACAGCCTCGCGATGCACCATTTTTAAAGATGGGCCGAACTTACTCTAGCGCCAGCTCTCGGAGAGCTGCTCAGGCCGTCAGCATGAACACTGGCCTTGTCCCTGGGTCCAGCGCTCTGGACACCCTCGGCCTTCCTGCTTGCCACTCCCAAACCAGCCAAACTTCCCGGGCCTTGGGAAGTTTCCAAAGGCTGATATTTTGGCCCAGAAATTCTCATCCAAATCCCATTTTGCTTTTCCCATTTTATTATAGAAAACTTTCAAAGAGATTCAATACAGAAGACAATATAATAATGAGTCGGCTCTCCCCGATCAGGCAGCACCAGCAATTCTTAACTCGTGGCCAATCAATCCGGTTTTATTTATAGCCCAACACACTTCCCCCACCGCATTATTGTGAAACGAAACCCAGACATCTTGTCATTTAATCGGTAGATATTTTAGCATGATCTCTAAAAGATATCAGTCTTCTCTAAAACATAACTGCTCTGCCATTATCCTACCTAACAAATCACCTCTACT